TGTAGGTCTCCAGTTGGTTGGTTCAAGCTTGGCGAGGCTAGGCTATTGGGGACATAGTTGGTTCAGGATGCTTTAGAGAAGGTGAAGCTGATTCAGGAGAGGCTTCGTACAGCACAGTCGCGTCAGAAGAGTTATGTGGATCGGAAGGTTCGAGATGTGTCTTATATGGTTGGTGAGAAGGTCTTGCTGAAGGTTTCGCCCATGAAGGGTGTTATGCGGTTTGGAAAGAAAGGGAAGTTGAGTCCGCGGTTTATTGGGCCTTTTAAGGTACTTAGGAGGATTGGAGAGGTGGCCTACATGCTTGCCTTGCCACCCAGTTTGTCAGGCGTGCATCCGGTATTTCATGTTTCTATGCTTCAAAAGTATGTTGGGGACCCGTCCCATGTATTGGACTTCAGCACGGTTCAGTTGGATGATGATTTGACCTATGATGTGGAGCCAGTGGCTATTTTGGGTCGTCAGGTTCGAAAGTTGAGATCAAAGGATATAGCTTCGGTGAAAGTGCAGTGGAGAGGTCGGCCCGTGGAGGAGGCTACCTGGGAGACCGAGCGGGAGATGCGGAGCCGATATCCTCACCTGTTTGATGCTTCAGGTATGTTTTTTGACCCGCTCGAGGACGAGCGTTTGTTTTAGTTGGGGAGGATGTGACGACCTGACCCGCCGTCTCATGAGTTACCGCTTCATTTTCCCCATTTTCAACTTCTTTATGCTTCATTATCCATATCTTATGTGATCGAGTTGGTTTGGAGAGGTTTTGGTAGGAAATGAGACACTTAGTCTCTTTAAGGAAGGTTTGTTTGGAAAAGTCAACCGGATGTTGACTTATGAGTTGGGGGGCTTGGATGTGATTTCCGGTGATTTGGTTAGCTTCGGGGGATGATTTGTGACTTAGGAGCGTGATCGGAAGTGATTTCGGAGGTCTGGTGTAGAATTAGGCTTGAATTGGCGAAGTTAGTATTTTGGCGAATTCCGGTTGATAGGTGAGATTTTGATCCGAGGGTCGGAATGGAATTCCGAGAGTTGCTGTAGCTTCGTTAGGTGATTTGGGATGCGAGTGCAAAATTTCAGGTCATTCGGAGGTGTTTTGGTTGGGTTTTTGATCGAATGTGTGTTTCGGAATTTTTAGAAGAACTTAGGCTTGAATCCGATGTAATTTAATGATTTTGGTGTTATCTGATGTGTTTTGATGATTGGAACGAGTTTGGGTGATGTTTTAGGATGGGTTGGCACTTTTGGTTGAGGTCCCGGGGGCCTCGGGGTGATTTCTGATGGCTAACAGGGAATTTTTGAGCCTTGTGTTGTTGCAGAAATTTGCTGGTTCTGGTATTTCCGCATCTGCGGAATTGGGACCGCAGATGCGGGAAGGAGGTCGCAGGTGCGAGTTTTCTTGGAAGGTTGGGTTTTTGCAGATGCGGGCGTGGAGCCGCATCTGCGGTGCCGCAGATGCGGCGATGGTATCGCAGATGCGGATTTTAGGCATGTGGGAATTTCCGCAGAAGCGGATGGTAGCCGCAGATGCGGAAGCCGCAGATGCGGATTTGCGACCGCAGAAGCGGTCTTGGCTTAAGTGAATGGCCGCAGAAGCGGAAACCGCAGATGCGGTGCTTGGATCGCAGATGCGAAAAATGTCAGGGCAGAAGGGTTTTAAAGTTTCATTTTGTTCCGCGAGCTAAGCTATTGTTCCACCATTTTTGAGCATCCTTGAGAGCTTTTGGACGGGAATTGAAGGGGATTTCGACAGGGATTGATTGGAGTGAGTTTTATGAACTAAAAACATGATTTAATTGTAGAATCAACCTAGAAATTCATGAAAATTTATCAAAAAGGGGGAAAGAACTAGGGCTTGAGTTTCGAAATTTCAAATTGGGTTTTGAAGTGTCATTTGAGCTCGGATTTGGGAGTTCTTGGTATGTATAGACTCGTGGCGAGATAAGGAATCCGTTGATGTAATATTTTCTAAAATTCGAGAAGTGGGCCCGGGGCTCGGGTTTTGCAAATTTCGTGATTTTCGATGTTTTTCGATTCTTTCCGATTGGGTTATGTTCCCTTAGCCTATTGTGACGTATTCGTTGTGGTTTTAGTCAGATTCGACGCGCGAGGAGGCCGATTTTGAGGCAAGGGCATAGCGAGCTAGGATTTTGGCCGGCTTGAGGTGAGTAATGATAGTAAATGATATCCTGAGGGTTTGAAACCCCGGATTTGCATAACGTAGTGCTATATTAAGGTGAAAGACGAGCTTAACGACGAGCGCGGGGTTGTTTACTACTGGGGATTGTGACTTGGTCCGCCCCATTGATATTTTTACCGCGTATTTGACTGAGATGTGTTTGTTATCAACGTGATTTGGGCTTATTGCCATATTTTTTGGGCTTCATGCTGACTACTTGAATCCTTCGTGGGCTTTTATCAACGTTTCCTCACTATTTTGATATATTACTTGAGCTCAGTCCTCTTGATTAATACTGTTTTACAAACTCAGCCACTTTTAATTGAATTTTTGAGATTTAAATGATATTTCCAATGTTGTTTGGGCTGAGCACTACTGTTTTACTGATGCCGAGGGGCTTGTGATGATTTCTGGACTGAGTGAGGCCGAGGGCCATATGTGAGGATATGCTGAGTGATATGAGGCCGAGGGCCTGATATAGATTTATATGCCACGAGGTGGCTTGAGTGACGTGAGGAGGCTTTTAGGCCTTGTGAGTGATGTGAGGAGGCTTTCAGGCCTTATGAGTGATGTGAGAAGGCTTTCAGGCCTTATGTTGATATAGCGCTTGGGCCGTAAGGGGCCCCTCCGGAGTCTGCACACCCACAGTGAGTGCGGGTACCCATCTGATCTGAGAGTGAGCCCGAGGGGCTGATATTATGCTGAGTGACTGAGAGTGAGCCCGAGGGGCTGATGCTATGCTGAGTGACTGATACTGGGCCCGAGGGGCAGATTTCTACTCACTATTTACTTGTTGTTTTACCTGATTTACCTGTTTTTAAAAAGAGATTTCATTTGACTCTTTACTGTTTTACGACTTGAGTGATTTACTGCCTGATATAGAATTGCCTTGTGCACTTATGTGTTGTCATGCCTTCGGTTATTATTTATTGTTATTACTCACTAGGTCGGAGTACTCACATTACTCCCTGCACCATGTGCGCAGATTTAGGCATAGCAGAGTCCGCACCTGAGCACTGATTCCTTCCAGACCAGGCAGCGAGTTGGAGTTACGAGGTAGCTGTTGACGTCCGCAGCCCCTTGTCTCCCTTATCCTCTATCATTTATGTTTCTCTTCAGACTATTGTATCAGATATCATACTTTGTAGACTTATAGCAAACTCTGTAGTAGCTCATGACTTTTGACACCCGGGTTTGGGCTGTGTCGGGATGGTTTCCCTTGTTATTATCGCTGTTTCCGCAATATTGGCTATAGTAAGCATGTTTTAGACTTGTTAATGTTAACTAATGTTTTAAAAGAGGTGTTTCCGTTGTTCTGGCTGGCCTTGTCTTCACGAGAGGCGCCATCACGGCCGGGGTCGGGAATTGGGTCGTGACACAACCGCTAGTTGTCCTGATTTTCAATAAGTTTTTGCTTATTCTACTGATACGTTAAATATCTCACCAACTCTAATAAAAATGCAAAATTTTCTAATTTACCGGTTTAAACGAGCATTTCTATTATCAAGTTACAACAAAAATTGCAGTTGATTATGGTGATGTTGGAACTGGGTGGAGATTGAAGAAACCAAATGAGATTTTTTGGAAGTTAACTTCTTGGTGGTGATGTTTTGGTGGAGAAGATGCGGGCTTGCCACCGGCCGTGAAAGTTTCCGGCAAGGTGGTCCTCTTCGAGCAAAACAGAGTGTAAAAAGAAGAGAGAGAGAGAGAAAGTGAAAGATAAAAATAAAAAAATGAATTAATTGTTTATTTAGTAGTGGACGTGCTCAAAGAGAGTGGAAAACACACATTTTGCCATGTCAGCTAAATATGTCTAATTGGTATACATTTGGAGAAGTTTAGGTGTTCAAAAGGTACTAGTCTAAGTGAAAATGTAAGATAAGTTTAAGGGGATGCGGATGTATTTGGCCTATTATAAATATAAAGTACTACTTCTTGAGATTTACTTGCCCTACTCTAGAGCCGCCCTTGCGAGCAAGTATCTTGAATTCTTTTATCATACTACTATTATAGGGGTGTTCATAAAAACCCGAAAAATCGAACCAAATCGAAAACCAAACCAAGCCGACCAAAAAAATCGATACTTTTTAGTTTGGTTTGGTTTTGGTTTTGAATTTTAAAAATCGATCAAATTTGGTTTGATTTTGGTTTTAATCAGAAAAAAATCGAAAAAAATCGAACCAACACGACTATAGGAGTAGCTATTTCAAATTTATTGTTACACCTATATATATGTATATTTTATACAAAGTTTCAAAAATTTAATGGTAAATGTTAATAGTTTGCACTTTTAGTATAGTTCTTTACCTTTACATTCTAGTTTGATTGGTAGTTTTCTTTTGTTAAGTGTAAGAATCCATTTCGTGTTAAAAATAATATATTTTTAATTGAGTCCTTAAATTATTCATCACTATTTGGTTCAATAATCATCAATATATCTTGGTAAATAATAGATTTCTCAAAGGGCAATTGATTTGATAGTGTTACGTTGAAAATGTGGTTGCCGGAATATGTGCTTGGTAGTGTATGTCTTATTTTTAAGAAAAAACCGACAAATAACCGAAAAAATCGAAAAACCGACAAACCCGACATAAACCGAGTCGAGAAAAAACCGACTTAATTTGTTTGGTTTGGTTCTAATATTTGAAAAACCAACTTACTTGGTTTGGTTTCTTTTAAGGGAAAAACCGATCCAAACCGAACCATGAACACTGTATTATAGATCATTCTGTTAGAAAAAAATCCAACTTTCGAAGAGCAGAAATTGGATTTTAGATAAAAATACAAGTGTTATATGATTCGACTGAACTCTAAAGGGAGAACTCAAAATTGATGGTTCAAGTAATAAATTAAATGTTGTTAATTTCATTGGCAGAAAACAATCGACTAGATATTCATTCTAAAGTAATGTTCATACATCATGATTTATCTACAACCAAATTGGGAGAGCCTAAATCTTCCTATCTCAATTTCAATTTTTTATTTATTTAATATTTCCTTTTTTTACTGATCAATAAGTGAAGTCCATGCGATGCACCCGATCCTTGAGAATCCCAGGGTACAAAGTTCTACTTTCCTCTGGCATACCACAAGAATTACTAAGAACTTTGCTATAATATTTATTAAATTCCCTTCTATATTCCTCGCCATTTCCATTTGAATCTTTCACATTAGCTGCAAAATGAACTCTCTTCTTTTTCTTCTTGCTTGAATCTTTCTTCTTTCCACCTGTAATATGACAAGTGTCACATGCAAACAGTGATTGAAAAAATCACCTAGTACTGTTCCAAGAAGCTAGGAGAAATTAAAATAGTACCTGAAGATAAACAAGACTTGAGTATATACTTTCCATGTGGTGAATATTCTTGTTTATTGTTTGTAAGTTCAAACTGAATAGTTGACAAATACTTTTCCTGAAGAAGATCAAAAAGAATAACAGTGCCGGCAGAGACAACCATGGCTGTTGCCAAGACCAAACCATTTGGGCCCATCAAGCTTGACATAATTGTACAACAACAATAACAACAACAATCAGTAAAATCTCACAAGTTGGGTCTGGAGAGGGCAGTGTGTACGCAGACCTTATCCAGAGGGCTATTCCCGATAGATCGTCGGTTCAAGAAGACGGAAAATGAGTTTAGCTGGAGCCTGGAGAATTGAAGAAAGACGAGAATGGATGGATTTAAAAAAAGTTCAGCTGTTGAAGATCTCTTATAATCGTTCACTAATATGGAAATTGATGATTTTCGTATTAGGCGGCTCCAGCTAATTTGGAATTGATGCACTACTACTTGTTGCCGTGAGTCGTTAAATGAGGCTGAAGGACAGAGTAGGTGGGAAGTCTGTATATGCTCGGTTACTCCTATATACACAATAAATAGTACGGATTCTTAGTGCAATGTGATGGCGTAGCCGCGTACAACATACTTATACAATCATGTCACTTATTAGTATATAAATAGTATTCCTTCCGTTTATTTTTACTTGTCCACCGTTGATTTTGCACTAATAAAGTGTATAATTTACCATGATACTCATATTAATTGGTGTATAGTCTTTATGGATATGGAAAATAATTTGAAATGAGTAATTAATGTTAATGGCAAAACAGGAAAAATAAATTATTTTTCTCTTGATTTGCGAAAAGTATCGACAGGTAAAAAAGAATTTATTTTTAGAATAATTGAACTGAGGAGGTACCAACTAAGCTGTTACAATAAGTTAAATTATATACGGAGTAATATAAAAGCACCCGATCTGCCATGGTTCAAGGGATTAGGTAGGTTATCTTGATATAAATTTTGGGATTAAAAATTTATCTCGTTTTTGATTGAGGGTCTGTTTAGAAAGCCACCATGTAATTGGAATTGGTGTAATTACTAATGTAGTAATTACACAGCCTAGTAATTACACAGTTGTGTAATTACGATGACCTGTTTGTTTGACATAGTGTAATTATAGTGTCATTACAAGTTTACTGTTTGGTTGCACAAGTGTAATTACACAGTTAGATTTAATTTTAAATTGAGTAATTGTGTCAAAACTTAAAAATTAATATAATAAATATATGCCTATAAATTTTTATAAGTATAAATAATATTATATTTGGTATTTAAGATGTATATTTCTTCGTAAATATACATTAATTAGTAATCATATATTTATAACTAATATTGTAAAAATAATTTATATAGTATATTTTTTAAATTAATAATATTTAGTTTAGATACTTATAAAAACTAAAAATATACGTTTTGTAAGAACATCATGGAATTCATGTTTGATAAAATAAATTAATATTTATAAATATTGTGTCATAACATTAATCAAATGTTTGACAAAACTAATCTATCAATTCTAACTAAAAAATGAACAACATGGAATATGAGCCAAAACTACTAAAACAAGTAAATTGGAACCATGAATATAACACAATTTCAATAATAAAAAAAAATAGTTTTACATATGTCAAATTCCAACATAATAATAGTAAGTTCCACTATAACTTAAGATTAGGAAACATGGTAAGCTTAACTACATTTAACAACGAAATTTCACTTTAAGTGCATCACTCATTATATGTCAAGTTTATTAATGACCCATTATTTCTAATATTAGGAGGTGTAGTTTCAGAAATAGAATAAGAAAAAAAAATATAAGCAATTACATAGAATCACAAGAAGTAATGATAGAGAAATAAAAGATAAATAATGTACAAAGAAAAATATATTTTAAAATTTTAAAAGAAATTAAAAAGTAAAAATAAAATTAAAAAATTAAAATAATAAAAATAAAAAGTTATAAAGAAAATAAATTAAAATAAAAACAAAAAGGAAAGAAACTAAAAAGCAACCTTGTAATTACACAATGTAATTACCACCAATTCTCACCTCCCTCTTGAGAATTGGAGAGTGTAACTACACCCCTCCAATTACACCCAATTCAATACTGACCAAGTAATTACTTGGCCAAACAAACATGCCAAACTGTGTAATTACACCCAAATCCATTTCCAAGGTGGCTTTCCAAACAGGCTCTGAATGTATTAGCTAAAGCCGGTATTATTTATATACAAAAGTCTTGGTAGAAGATGGGATAAGTTACTCAAGTTATAGTCCTGATTTTAATTCCAAAATTATAATTTTGGGATATTTTGAACCAAACGACCCCTAGTGTAAAAAAGGAAAGTGGTGGAATGAATTTAATCATATTCTGGTTTGGGTTTTGTTTTTTTGCTTTCAATAGTGCACAGCGGGACAGGGGAAAGAGAAGAGAAATTATAAGGTGGAGAAGGATGGTCAAACTTTGAGTTGTGTAAAGTTGGCATTCAGTTAAGGTTGTCTAGATAGTCCCCACACAAGGCCAGCCTTTGTGTGTTTAATTAATGTACATGTTTGTTTTTAATAAATAAAGAGATTCATGAAGTCGTGCCCATGTGCGCATCGCTCAAGGGAAAAAGAAGCAGAGTTAGAGACGTGGAAGTTCTCTCTTCTCTTTACAAAACTAGTACTACTTCTTAGCATGTGCAAGCAAGGTCAAGCCACAAGAAAATCCTGTACTTGTCACGAGAAGGACTCTACGTTGTGTCATGGAAAGCTTCTATTTGTTTTTTTTTCTTCTCTCTACAACTTTTTTGTGTCATACGCCACGTCCTTAGTTGTTAACTAAGTAAGCGTGCGACACTTGATAACTTGCTCACGATTTTGTATAGCTTGCTCACGTTTTTGCTATGCCAAATCAGCCTTACTACACTCAAGATCGCTAAGAGAATGATAGAAAGAACACAAGAGAATTGTTAAAGGAAGCTTTGTATTAGAGAGAACTTGAATTGTTTACTTGGTGAATTACAAATAAATGGCCCCTTTATATTCTAGTCTCCTGGGGGCAGTGTGTAAATAATAATTATTACACAAGTCCTTAATATTTATAAGATAAGGGATTTCTCTAGAATTCTCTAAAAGCCTAGAAGATTCCAAGGACTTTCCTAGCAAATCCATAAGGATATAGGTTCTTCCTAAGGAAATGTCCATACTTCTCTAGAATCTTCTCACAAATGCTAGCCTTCTTCTTATGTAAGCTTCCACATGGCATTAATATATGCCAAATGGCGCCTATGTGGCATGATGACGTGGCGGGTCATCACACTCTCCCCCACCTAATATTGCGACAACTGCGGCGCAATGCTGCTGCATAAACTCTCGGATCTTATCTTTGAATTGCCAAAGTCTTCATATCGTTCCCATATGGCCTCTTCCGGTGATTGCCCCTTCCAATAGACGAGGAACATAGCGGTGGTTTTTTGCCCTTTTTTCGCCTGGCTTGGTAATCCATAATATCCTCAATCTCCCGATCATGCGAGACTGTGATAGTCATAGGTGCTCGACTTGATTGTTCCCTACTCGGATCATCTTTATCTTCATGATATGGCTTAAGAATGCTGGCATAGAAGACATGGTAGATCATAACATACGATGGCATGTCAAGCTTGTATGAGATCTTGCCTACCTTGGCGACGATCTTAAATGGCCCCTCATACTTGCAAATCAGATTCTGATGCATGCCCCGTAGTGGCTTGAACTGTCTTGGGTTAAACTTCACCATGACCATGTCCCCAACTCTATAGTCCGTGGGACGGCGCTTACGGTCTGCAAACTTCTTCATCTTCTTAGCTGCCCTATCCAAGTAGGACTTAGCAGTGTAAAGATACTCCCCCATCCTTTGGCCATATGATAAGCCCCCAAACTCTTTCCCTCGAACGCAGCTGGTAATGAATGTAGAGTTTGTGGCTGTTGGCCTATGGCTAGCTCAAATGGTGTCCGCCCCGTGGACTCACTCCGCTGCAAGTTATAAGAGAATTAGGCGATGTCTAGGAACCTTGCCCAATCTTTCTGATGCGCGCTTACATAATGCCTCAAGTAGCATTCTAGTAAGGCATTGACCCGTTCCATTTGTCCATCTGTCTATGGGTGGAAACTAGTGGAAAAGTGCAGCTCCATGCCAAGTATGTTGAATAACTCTCTCCAAATGTTTCTAGTAAAACGGGGGTCTCGATCAATGATAATATGCCTTGGTAAGCCCCAATACTTCACCACGTTCTTAAAGAATAGCTTGGCGGCTTCCTTCGCAGTGCAACCTGGTGAGGCGGGCATGAAGGTGGCATATTCAGAAAATCTATCCACGACCACCATAATAGTACCATAACCATTGGACTTCGGTATACAAGTGATAAAGTCCATAGTGATGCTCTCCCATGGACGCTCTACAACTGGCAGTGGCTCCAAAAGTCCTCCGGGCTGTTGTTGTGCAACCTTGTCCTGTTGACAGACAAGACAAGTCTGCACATAACACTCTATGTCATCTTGCATGCGTGGCCAATAGTAGACTGACTCAACCAAGGCCCTAGTGCGACGTTGACCTAGATGAACAACCCACATTGTGTCATGACTCTCCCTTATGATCCATCGTCTAATGTCTCCAAACTTAGGCACATAGACCCGCCGACCTGTAGTAAGTAGTAAGCCGTCTTCTATCCAAAAGCGTCTCGTCTTGCCTTTGTTGGCTAACTCGATAAGCTGTTTGGCTGTTGGATCATGCTGTATGCCTTCTTTTATAGCCTCCCGACTGTCCCATCTTGCTGAATTGATTGCAGCAAGCTCGACTTTCTGGCTCAAGGCATCAGCTACAACGTTACCTTTGCTCGGCTTATACTTCAGCGCATAATCAAACTCGGCCAAGAAATCCTGCCACCTAGCCTGTTTTGGTGTGAGCTTCTTCTGCATCTGAAAGTAGCTAGTAGCCACATTTTCGGTCTTGACCACGAACCTCGACCCAAACAGATAATGTCGCCATGTACGAAGGCAATGCACAATGGCAGTCATTTCCTTCTCTTGCACCGTGTAACGCCGCTCCGTCTCATTTAACTTGCGGCTCTCAAATGCTATGGGATGCTCGTCCTGCATCAGGACACCCCCAATGGCGAAGTCTTAGGCATCTGTGTGCACCTCAAATGTCTTGGCAAAGTTAGGTAACGCCAAGACTAGCTCCTCTGTTACAATTGCCTTAAGGTCTTCAAACGCCTTTTGACAATGTTCCGTCCAAACCCATGGCTTGTTCTTCTTCAATAGCTTAGTTAATGGTGCGGCCTTTGCTGAGTAGTTACTGATGAACCGACGATAGTAGTTAACAAGGCCAAGGAAGGATCTCAACTCTGTTACTTTTTTAGGTGCCTCCCACTCCTGGATAGCACGTACCTTAGCCTCATCCATGTGTAGCTCGCCATTGCTAATAACATGGCCCAGGAAGTGCACCTTTAATTGTGCGAACTCACATTTCTCCCTCTTGATGTATAGCTCGTTCTCCCGCAA